CCGAGTTCCGTCTCCCCTCGGCCTCCGTCTTCCCTCCCGGGGAGGCCCTGTGAGGGCTAGCAGTTGGTCCAAGCGGTTTTGTCGGATTTCTCATCCTCACCCATGACTTTTCCTCCTACACAAGCAGCTACTTGCAAACTTCTCGTGTCTTCCCCAAGACCTCTTCGCCGGCCACTGCAGGGCATAACTTCCTCCCGTGCTTTCCGTGATACCCAGGGCATCGTCCCCTTTCTGCCACCATCCATCTCCTCCATGTTTCCTGTCCTCCGCTAGCCACTGCTGTTCATTCCAGCACATTGTTCCTGATCCTACTTCCAACTCTGGCAAACTTGCAGTCTCAGTCGCAAGGACAGCACGTGCCAGGCATTAGAGCAGTGAAATGGGCCCCCCCAGAGACGTGGGCTCTTGCCCCAGCCTGCTGCATGACTTGGGCAAGTCCCTTCCCTTACAAGAGTCCTTGTTTCCTAATCTGCGTAACAGAAATAATACTGACCTCCTTTATGAACTGAGATCTGCTGACAAAAGAGCTGGGACACCCAAGTGCTAGACAGGAGCATGCAGATTCTTTCCCTGCTCCTCCATCGCCCAGGCTTCTCCATGCATCTCATGAAGGTGGTGACAGAGCAAATGCCTCAAGTCCTGAACGTGTACTGGATGCGCCTGCAGCAGCTGCCAACCGCCGCCCTTTGTACAAGTGCAAATGCAATGGGGGAAAGAGGTTGGGGCAGGAGCTGCCTCCCCTTCTGACCTTCATTTTTTCTTCTTTCTCCCTCAGATCATATTTATTTGCCTCTCCTCACGTTAAGGCCAAGATTTTTCTTTCCTCTTGTGCTTTGAGCTTTGGAAAGCATCTTCTCCTGTCCCAGAGTCTTCTGTTTTCCCTGCTCAGCTGCACATGGGGTCAGGGAGATGGGCTGAGACCCAAGAAGTAGTCCCTGGGGCACAGAAAGCGCCCAGCCTTCTGGCCAAACCCTGCTCTCCAGCGAGTATCTCACACCCTGCAGAGCTCACCTTTGCCAGGAGGTGGGAGAAGGGGGCAGAGGTGGTCCTGACCATCTCCCTCTTTCTGCACCATCCTCCCAACTCCTGCTAGTCCGGCAAAGTCACCTTCCTCCCTGTCAGGGATGCAGCTTTCCTTTGCCTTGGGCAACACCATCACCTCCTCACGTACTCAGGCCAAAATCCCAGTAACAAATTTGCTGGTTTTGAACTTAAGCTGCTACCCTATGCTGTCCCCCCCTGGCCTCTGCTCTCTCTGGGGACATTGCTGACTCTTTCAAAGCTGCGCACAGTCTGTCCCCTCCACCGCTTTGGTTGGAAAGGAACGGGAAGCACCCACACCCAGATATTCCCACAAGAACAGCCCTTCCTGGACATGACTTCCGTGGGCACCGTGGGTGGCAACCATCAGTGCCGGTGCCTGGCAGAGCCCCTAACAAAAACCACAGGCCCCACAGCACGTGGCAGCACAAGCACACGTGTCCAGGTGAAGGCGCACCCCTATTCTCTCCTCACATATTCCCATATGGGACACCTCACTGCCTAGCACAGAGCAGGATCCCAACCCTGTATCTTCACCCATGTGGTGCCGGGGAACACCAAGGACAGCTGCTCTGCAAGGAAGTGGTCGCAGGAGCAGCGCGGGAGGTGGACAGGCAATAGCCTCAGCAGCAGGAGCCCAGAACTGAGCAAGGTGAGCAGGGCAGGTCCTGTGGCAGTAACCAGGTTCAGCCTGGACTCCAGACAAGTCTCCTGCAGTGAGGCAGGTCTGGGGTTAAGCCAAGTCCCCATGTCAGGGTCTGGCTCATGGCCCCAGGACATGGCCACGCACAGCAGCAGCAAAGCTGGAATGTAGCTCAGGTAGGAACCAAAGTAAAAGCTTTGGCTAAAAACAGCTCCCAAGGAAAAGAGTGAAGAGAGGTTTCTCTACCTGCTGCTTCTTCCAGCTTTATTTTCAAAGTGCTCTGAAGCCACCTGATGCTTATTAAACTACTTGCTCTTACCAGCAAACTGGCCTTAAATGCTTGAAGTTAAACTCCTGGGGAGGGGGGTGCAGCCCAGATCCTGACACAAAAGACATTCACCTCCCTAATTCTACAGCTTCCCTGTCTTGCTTAAGCCTTCTCTTCCACCTTAACCAAGAGGGCCCAAAGCTGGCATCTTGCAGGTTGTGATACAGAAGCCCAGTGCCTGCTGGCAAACACTGGCAGAAGCTGACAGCTGGCTTCCACCTCTGCCTTGTGCCACCCGCATGTGGTTTGCTTACAATTAGGCAGAATCATACTGTTTATCCTTCCCCCCCCCCCCCCCCCACAGAGCTGGGAGGATAAATGATACCTGTCCTGACAGATGTTTGTGAAACCTGTTCTTAAGGACCTCCAGTGATGGAGATTGCACCACGCCCCAGCAGTCTGTTCTGGCACACTTCTATCCTGGCATTATCTGAAAGCCTAACTTCAGCTTTTTTGTCTGAGCTGAAATCCTTTATATCCTGGCCTGTTTGCTCTGGCTGTGTCCGCCTTTGAAGTGGCCTCTCAGGCACTTGATGACTGTCATGTTTCCCTTCCCTGCCTTGCTCCAGCTTTCTGTTCTACAGACTACATCAACTCAATTCTTTCAGCCTTTCTTCATGTTTTCTGTGCCCCCCAGCATGCTCACTGACCTCCTCTTCCTTTTTTTTTCTGTTGATCTGCCTTTTTTGA